ATTTTCCTGATATTATCCATGGGACGGGAATCTATATTCGCTGAAAAAAGTTGCCAAAAGGTGGTCCACTTCTTGGGATCTCCATAAAAGGGATCCATTTTAAGCTCGGGTAATCTGACTTCTATGGGACTGTTCTGATTATTGTGTTCGGACTTAATATTTTGCTTGTTCTGTTCATAAACATGGTCTGACTGATCTGATACACTGGCCTGACTATCTCGGGTAGAAGGGGCTGGTAACTCTTCTAGGAGGTAATCAATCTCGTTTATCACCCCCCTGGCTCTTTCGGCCAAATCCATAAAATGAGTATATTCCTGGTCATCTCCCGCTGCTCGGGGCAAAAATTCCTGATAAACTCGTTCCTCATGCTCGAGGGCTTCTCCCCCTAAGGTATCTATAAAGTCGGTCCATCGGACATGTAACTCGTCAACTCGGACTAGGGCTCGACTTAGATGGAACCGCGCTGCTCGTAGGGAATCCTGATTCTGAACTTCTCCCTCTGTGGGATTTAATGCTTGTATTGCAGGCGTTAACTGATCTTTAAGGGATTTAAGCGCTAAACCCAACTGTCTGCGGATGGATCCTGAGGCTGCCATAAATAAAGATTGGGGTAATAGCAACTGATAAATTACTTTCGGCTATCAGAGCCGTGAAGATTATTTTAGACCGCGGTAGAATCGGCTTTTTTGCCGTGTAGAAATTTAATTTTTAAAACTAATAAATTCGGCCTGCGCCGTGAAGAAAGGGGGGAACAATAAAATTTATTTAAAAAATATTTTTATTTTCCAATAAAAAGTGTGCACAGAGATTTGTGCACAAAAAGTGTAAAATTACAACACAGATGTGTGTTGTGTTTATTTGAAGAAAGGATGAGTTGGCAAAAACAAGCCACTCAAAAAAATAAACACTTAAAAGAAGAGAGAAGGAAAACGGCCTAGTTGCCGATGGGGTCTTTTGTAAAAGAGATGCACAAAAATGTGCAGAAGTGTTTATTTATTGGCCTTTACCGACGGCCAATAAACAAAAGAAAACTTTTCCTATCTGAAGGAAAAATTTGGCTAAGACGCCAGATGTGTGCACTTTGTTGTGCAAAAAACTGTATAGAGTGAAAAAAGGCGCAGGCACGCTGATTGGCCGGCCAAAATGAGTATTTAAGTCTTAAAAGGGTCACTTGAGTACGAGGTTTCCAAAGGGTACTTGGGACCTACAATTGGAATTTTAACTGATTTGATAAGCAACTGGCACTCTTGGGCCGGTAATTGTTAATCCGATGGGGACTTGTGGCTGGCACTCGGAAATTTAATATTTGGGTGGCGACGGGCACTTGGGGGCCGGCAATCGCTAAAAGTATGGCACGGATCGGTCGAGATCGGCAATGCCGTGAAGATTGTCAGTGGGTCGTTCCCACTCGACAAGAAAGGATTTTTAAAGAACGGTGGGCACTATGGGGCCTGCTACACGTTCTGAGGGCTAGGGATCTGCTGATCGGCACTAGCCGTGAAGAATGAAGAAACGGGTACTCTGGGACCCGTACGGGGCTCCAAATTTAATGTGCCGGATGGCAATTTGTTTTACTTAAATCCTACCCGGTTAAACCCCCAAGAAATAAAAACACAAATTAAAGAAGAAAAAATTTATTTTAATTAAATCCAAATATATGAGCTCGGCTGGCGCTAGGTTGGTTGTTGATTAAAAAAGAGAAGTTAAGAATAAGTGAAGAATGAATTAAAGTTTTTTAGGGGGAAAGCGACAGCCGAGCGAAAAAATAAAAAATAGGCGGAGTTTTAACAATTTTAAAATCGGGGCCAAAAAAATCAAAAAGCGAGGATTGCCAGTCGGCACAGTATGTATTAGTTCCATGATTCTAGATGTCACAAAAAGTTAAAAATTTTTAACAGTCAATTTGTTATTAAAAATTTTTTTCCCTTATACTTTTCAAACAAACCAGTAAATCCTTTTGTCGTTGTTCCAATTGTAATATTTTGTTTTAAAGAAATATTCTTTCTAAAATTCGAGTTAAAAAATATTTCATCCTTCTCTTCATTAAATTCATCCTCCTCCTCTTCTTCCTTATTTTCTTCTTCCTCTTCCCCCTCATTTTTATTTAGATTATTTGCTATATCAGAAACAGCTACAACATTAATTTTAATTTCTGCTGTATTTGACCTTTTATGTGTAATTCCAGCTCCATCTCTCGCCAAAACTTTAATTGAAGCTCTTTCCCCTTCAAACATTGACTCTTTTAATCTTAATTCAACTGAACATTTTGGCCATTTACATTGTGGGGAATTTAATGAAAATAAAGAATTATTTTTGTTGTCATCTGATATTAAAGAGAATATACTAATTCCGCCAATACCTTGGTCAAAATCTATAATTTCCAATCGACGAATTAGAAAGCCTGGAGGAGAGCCCTGTTAAATTAATTGTTAATTTATGTAAATTTTTAATAAAGGCTTTATCTAAAATATAAAAAAACTAACCGCAGGAATAATTAATTCCAAAGGGAAAGGCCCTCCCAAAAAATAAGGAGGATTATCATTAACATCGACAACTTCAATTTGAAGTGTTGCTCTGTCTTTATTACTTAAATCCTCAAATAATAGAGAATAAGATTGTGATGAAGGAGAATTGATAGGAGGATATTTTTGGTTTTCTTCATTTTGATTGATAAAAATATTTGAAGAAGGGACCTAAAAAGAACAAAATTTTATTTAAAATTTCATTTCTTAATTAAATTTTTAAAATTTCTTTTATTAGAATACTCCAGAATATGTATTTTTTAAATAATGTAACTTATTTTCGGGTCTTTCTCTTCCTTTTGATCTTTTTACTTTTTGCTACTACATAACAGAATAAACTAACAGAATAATCATTTTCCTATCATTTCTTAATTCTGTGGAATTTTAAAAATTAAAAGAAATGCCTCGCTAAATCCCTTAATCAAATTAAAGATTAATAAAAAATAAAGATTCCTGATCAACATCCAATTCTTCAGTTAAAATTAACCCCGAACAGCTTTCATTTAATCGAAAGACTTCAAAAGGTAATTTATTCTCTATTTTTCTTTCATTTTCAAAATTTAAAGATTTTGTATTTGAAATAGATAATTCTAATGGATTCTCGATTGATTTATTATCATCTGAACATATTTGGACGTCTAAAAGTTTTCCTGAAGGCCAATCTTCATCAAGAAAATAAACATCAGGCGGATAAATAGATAAATGACCAAGAACTTTAAAAATAAAGAAAAAAATTTAAAGAATTATTTTTGGATTTTAATTAATAAAAAATTATGTTTTAGAAATTAAATAAAATTAAAAAAAAAGAAAATTTGTATACCATAAATATCCTATAATAGAAGCCCACCCCATGAGATACATACATATATTGAATATTAGGATTATATTAGGATATTTACGGCTTATATTAGGATAATAATTTAATTATAAATCAAAAAATTAGATTAATAAAAATGAGTGAAAAATATTTTTTAGTAGAATTAATGTTAAATAAAATTATTTAAATTTACTTACTTAATAATTTAAAATAAAGTAATTAAATTTCGTAAAAAAATAAAAAATCAAATTAAAAACAAAAAATGCCCTAATTAATTCTCACTTTTTTTGTTCAATAATTTTATTTATTAAAAGAATTACCAGATTGTAATGCAAGTTGAGCAAGTAAATGAGTAAAAACTGATGGAATATAATTACCAAAATTATTAAAATATTTATTCATTATTTAATTTATTCAATTAAAAAATAAAAGAGGATTTGATTAAAATAAATACTAAATGATTATTAAAAAAGAGAAGTGAGAACAATAAAATAAAATATTTATTAAGTGGATATTTTTTGTTGGAACATTTTATTTTATTTTAATTGTTTGGACAAGGACTTTAAAAATATTTTTCTTTTTCTTTCAAAAGTCTATAAACAAAATAGTTTCAGATTTAGAAAATTCCATGCTTCATTTTCCGATTAATCCATTGAGTAAAGAGATGGGGAATTATTTAAACAAAGAATTGTTTTTAGTTAATCGCTAAATAATCGCCTTTCCATTAATTTTATGTACTTGTCCTTAAATTTATTTTTTAATAAGAGAATCTTGTAGAAATCTACAAGTTATTCTAAAATTTAATAAGTTTATAAATCAAAAGCTTTCTTCAAAAGCTTTCTAGACATAACTGCTTCGAAAATCTAAAAGTCAAAACAATTCACTCCCTAGCAATTCAAAATTCCATTAAGTCTAACTTGAAAATTCTGCTCAATTCATTGTATAATTTAAAATATACATAATGGTTAATTATTAAAATCAAAAGATTAATTATAAGAAGATTTTGACACTCGCCCCTTATTTAAGCAATTTTAGAATGAGTAAAGCGGCATAAACTTTATATTGAACAAAAGAAAACTTAAATCAAGGCTATTTAAAGTCTTTTGAGTAAAAAGTTAAATTGACTGGACGTATTTTTTTTAATTATTATAATGATGAATAGATTAAATTCCCAAAAATCCTTATTATTTAAAAATTACAAAAGTTTTCACAAAAATTTTTAAGCAAAGGATGATTAATATTCTCACTTTTTTAATTTTCTCATCCTTATTTTCTCCATACTTTTAGGTATATACATAATAGTAATTCAAGCAACAATCAACAAGTCAAAACTTCCCGCGCGTACAATTAAAGTTATAGGGAAAAATTGTTTTGAGGGAAAAAAGGAAAGTGCTCAAAAATAAAAATAAGAAGATGACTATTTTGGAGGAAAATCATTAGTGGAGTGGAACAAATAAAAATAACTAATTTTGTTGAAATAATAAATAATTTGAATATTTTATTGTTTATTAAATAAATAACAATATTTTACTTTGCTCCAGAGTTGGCTATTAAATTCTTGAAATGCTTTATTGATGGTTCTAGCAAGAAAATCATTAAAAGAATTTATTAATTTTATTCACTTTATACTTTTAAATATTTTTTCAAAAACTTTCTAATGTTTAACGTGTAACACCAACATTTTTACGGCCAAGCACGGCATTAATTAATAATTCGTTATATTCTGCTCGCAGTTCCAAAGCCTAATAAAAAATATTTTTGAATTAAAGTTGACAAAAGTATAGGGGAATTTTGATAGATTAAATTTATGTTAAATAAAGGCTAGGGACATTTAAATAGAAAAAATTTTAAGCATGAAATTTATTTACCCGTTGTTTTGATGGTCCATAGTCTAGCTTAGTACGTAATTCAGTCAATTTTTCATCAAGCTGCTTCCTTTCCTTTTCTATTTGATCCACACGACTTTTTAATTCGCGCAACTAAATTTTCTGTTTAATTTATTCTTTTAAAAATAAATGATTAAATAATGATAGTAAAGGGTTTCAAATACTTTTTAATGTTTAGCTCCCCTATGATTCCTAACGGCGGTCACTAATTATCCGGAACCGAAAAAGACCGGATAACGGAAATCTTCGGTTTGGTTCCTGTCCTGGATAACCGAAGACGTCAACCTTAGTCACTAATAGATTCATAAAAATATTCCAGCTACAATATTTCTTCACAATCAAACTTTCTTTTATTAATTAAACATTTAATTAATTTTTTAACTTAAAATAATGGCTGGCATAATGGTCGAACTAACAATTTTACTTAAAATAAAAATAATTACTCTATTCATTTCATATCCTCCACCCCCAAATCTACTCTCTTCTGCTTTAATTTGTGCCTTTAGTCTCTCATTTTCTGCCTCCAATCGACTCAATTCTTCTTTTAAAGAATCTCTTTTTGCTTGAAGTTCCTTTTTAATTAAAAAAATATTTTTTAATTAAAAAAACAAACTCTCGATTTTGATCTAAATTCTTTTTTCTTTTCTTCAATATTAGACATTTTATCAATATTTTCATTAATTTCTGTTTGTTTTGTCTTCATAGAGGATAATTCTGAACATAAAAGTGCTTCGTTCTGTTTAAGAGTTATTAACTCTTCTTGGAGACGAACATGCACTTAATATATATTTTAATAAATTAAATAGAAAAATTTTTTAATTTTTGTTTTCCTCTACGAAGGATGTATCCAAGGGATCGTGGAGGAAAATTTTTGTTTATGGCTATAATGGAAAAGAATTATTTTATTACTGTCTAAACGAAGGGTTATTCGGATCCTTCTTTATTCTAACATTATCTCTATACAAATTAAAGCTCACAATCTTGTAATTCATTAGCACTAACAGCAGAACTACCCAATGCTAACAAAGATTCATCCAAGCCCGTAACATTCGTAACTATTTCTCCATGACGGCAATTTAACGAAATTAATTGTAATTGGCGAACAATTTGCTTTGAAAGAGCGGAAATTCTTCCCTCAATTTGTCTCTTAGATTCGTCAAAATTGTCCTTTTTGGAAAATTATTTTTATTTAAAATTATTAAGGAATTGGGTTTAAAGTAGAGCCTGACTTGATGATTTTTTCAATTTATGGATATTAAATCAAAAAATACCAAACAACCACTAAAGGCTCTGCATTTTTGGTTTCAGTATTGTTTTAGACATTTATTTTTTTGAATTCCTAGAAGGGTATAATAGACATATCTAAATAACGGAAACATCTTGGAGGCCTAGATAAATTCCAAGACTTGTTTATTTTATTAGTTAAAAATTTAATCCTTCACAAAAATCAACTCAAGCCGGCTTTTAAAATACACATTGGATCTTGCCAATTTATTTCAAAAAAATTACCAAAGAATTATCCATTTGTGTTCCTCTAGTTTTCAACTCTCTAAATTTTTCACTTTTATCACCTGCCAATAATTCAAATTCATTTTGGAATTCTTGAAGTTCTTCTTGTGCTTGTGCCATTCTTTCATTAATTTCTTGTAATTGTTCTTGCATATGCCCAATTTCTTTATTATCTTTTTGTATTTTTTGAATAAAATTATCTCTTTGTTCTTCTGGTGTTTGTTCTGATTGAAGTTCGGCAACTATTTGGGCACGTTTTTCTCTCATTTCTTGTAATTGTTCTTCCATCAACACTTTAATTTGGGATTTTTATATAAAATAAATTTAATATTTAATTGAATTAAAACAAGAATATCTAACTTTTGGGAGTCAAGAATGGATGAATTTTGACTATACCTAGATGGGGATTAAAATGATTGTTGACATTAGGGTAGCTCCCCGAGCCTTCGGGATCGGAAGTGTCGGGGATCGGTGTTTACATGGGAGGACATGTCGGGTTTCGGGGTCGGGTCCACTGACGCATTGTCCGGGAGCCGACATTATCAAGGTTGCATTTTCGGGGATTTTATTTTTCTAAAGAAGAATTCTAACGCAGAGGAAATTGAAAATAAAATATATTCAAAATTTCTTTACTTGTTTGACGTTTAAGAGGCGAATTAGCCAATGCCATATCCATTTCCTCTTTAGTTTTTGTTAATTCTGCCAATTCAGCCTTTTTTCTTTCCATTTCATTTCGTAAACTTTCTACCTCTGTATTTACTTGTTCAAATTCTTCTTTTACTTCAATCTCCTTAAGAAATTTTATTTAGTTCGTTTAATTTCAAATTATTTACAAGAACTCTCATCCTTTCATTATTTTCTGTCCTTAATCTCTCTGTTCGTTGTTCCAATTCTTGAAGTTGTTCTTCACGTAATCGACGTTCACGAAAAAGTTCTTCAACTTCAGCCATTAATTCTTAATTTAAGAAAATCTCTTAGTGGAATTCAAAAACTCTATACTTTGGTTAGCTAAAGCGGTTTGATCAGCCTCTGCTTCTAAAGAACGCAAATTTGTATCTGAATGAGTATTTTGACGGTCAATCACCTAAGTAAAAAGAATATTTTTAGATTTTATCATAATAGATTAGAATTAAATCAGGTTAGAATCATGAATTAAAATTCAAGTATTATAGGTAAGGTCAGTTATCTCATGAATTTTTTTTGCTAATTTAAAGATTGCATACCACAATAAATCATTAATTAAATAATTGTTATAATATTAACTCGAGAAATGTTTAAGAGTATTGCCACCTTCTCTCCTCAGTGATACAAATATATTTATAAACTTTAGGGATATTGCAGAGTAATTTGCAGATAATTTCAATGTTCTTGCCAAATTAAGGATTTTATATTTTCATAAAACATCTAATTTTTTACCTAATTAAAATAATATCTTTTACCAAATTATAATCAGCCAAAAGTCCTTGTAATTGTTTTAATTCCTGTGCTTGTTCCTCAGCTCTAAAATACATATATTATTAAAGTCTTTATATCCAAACCTCTGTTCATAAGCTAATAAATTCTCTCTTCCTTTTTCTGCTTTATCTAATTCTTCATTTAAATTTCCCAATTCAATCTCCAATGCATTCAATTTATTATGTAAAAGTCCAATATAATAATTAGCATCCGCTATCATTCTCCCTCCACCCATTGCTGCTAAAATTCAGATTTTTCTTCTTTTACAGGGTGCGGCAAATTCGCGCAACTTTTTGTTTTTAACATAACTTTCTTCATTTTTATCGAAAATTGATAATTTTTTTTTATTTTATACCTAGCACTTTAGGAAATTTATTGATAATAAAATCGCTTTTGAAATTTACAATTTAGTATGATTAATTTCCCGTCAAAATTTAGGGAAAATTTTTTTGATAAAAATTGGCCTGGAGTCGAGGGTATGATTTCGATATTTAAAATTTATATATCATTCGAATCAGCTCCTCAATCCGGTTCGAATGACGTAAAAATCATTCAGCTATCACATAGATGAACCGAGATACGGCTCACTGAATGATAAATTAAACAAATTTTGGCAAATATAAATTTTTTGAGTGAAATTTTCGAAAATGAGATTATTAACTATTTCGATACTCCTGAACGAGAGAAGTCGATTGGTACCAAAATTATTGGGATTGGATGATTTTGAACAAAGTTATGATCAATTAAAACTTTGACATGAAAAATGCATTTTTACCCGTTTTTATGTTTGAGCTCGTTTTCCTTTGCTATCCGAAAACAAAATGATTAGTATTTGGTACCAATAAATTTCCTAAAGTGTTAGGTATAAAATAAAAAAAGAATTATCAATTTTCGATAAGAATGAAGAAAGTTATGTTAAAAACAAAAAGTTGCGCGAATTTGCCGCACCCTGTAGATTTATTTCAACAAACTTCCCATTCTACTTCCCATTCTAGAAGCCATAGCAGCAGCTCTAGCCCCACTAACCCCTTGTTGAGTTATTGGACGTTGCTGGGCAGCAGCAGTTCCGAGGGGTAATTGATGGGCAATCATTTGACGAGACATTGTTCCTGGACGTGGCCCCATAGCTGTAGTAGAACGATTTAATGGACGATTACCCTTTTATTGCATAATTAAATTTTTTTGTAAAATTTTTAAATATACAAGAGCAGTTCCAGGTACACCAACACCTGCTGAAGTTCCAACTCTAGAGCCTACAATCATTAAGCTTGTTTACTTCTTGATTAGAGCTAATAACTTTTATTACCTGCTCTACTATAACCTCTTGGAGGAGCGGCTGAAACAATAGCATTTGCCACCATCCCAATTCTGCTTTGTGGACGTGCAACAGTTGATGGGGCTATAGCCATTTGTCTTGAAGGTGGAACTGGACCAAAGGAAGAAGCCGAAGAGGGAGGTCTTTCAGAATCTATAAGAGAAAATCATTCCTAAATTCTTAAATATATCCGAACTTCTTCCAGCCGTTTTTGGTCGTCGTTGTGCTGCTGTACTTGGACGAGCTGAAGGAGGTCTCTGCCTGTATTGATGGTCCATTTCTGCTTCAATTATTTAGATGAAAAAATAAATATGAAAATTCTAAGAAAAATAAAATCATAAAAATAACAAAAGCAAATTTTTATTAGCTTCAACATTGTTGCTTAGTAACCAAAATTTTTAGTTTATTAAAGTTTTCAAATAAAACTCTCTATAATTAAACAACTTTGGGTCCCATTTTATTATCATTTTATTATTTTAACACTAATTTTCCATTATTTCTTAAAATTGTGAAGGAGATCTCTGCCTATAATGTTGGTCAATTCATTTTTTTATCTTAACAAAAATTTTAGATTTTAAAGTGAATTTAAAATAAAAATAATTTCATAAAAATTTATCAACTTTTTGGAAAAGATTTTTATCTACTACATTATCGTTTAAATTTATTTTTCTTCTTCATCATTATCATCATCCTCTTCTGGTTCAATCGTTGTAGAATTTCCAAAATTATTCTCTAAAATTTCCTCATCTTCCAATTTCAAACTGGGCAAAGTTGTTCCTTCATTATGCCCGTTAAAAGGATGAAAACAGTTGGGAGGAGGGGGTCCAGGAATGACAGATTGAGGGGCAGGCACAAGACAACGAAGTGGGGGATCAGCAGCCTCTAACAATTGATGTATCTGTTGGCATTCCTCAGTGCGTGTTATTCCCATATTTTGGCGAATATCCTGAAAGTAATATTTAGCAAAAGGAGATATTCCTATAATAAAGCAGTCAAACCCATCCCAGAAAATGATACAAGATTCGATAGGATTGATCCGCTTATCTTACTACCGAATATATTAGGAACTGGAATTTGCCTTTACTAAAATCTCAACGGTTATAATAAAATATTCCTTTTAAGATCCAAGTCTTTTACCCAAAGTTTGTTGTACAAAGTCAATGCTGATCCAGCCAGCCATTTATTCAAATTATCATAAGAAGTTTTCATATGTTGTTGAACAGTTTGTGTGTAATTGTCATATTCTGTTTGTAACCCATTATCTTTAGCCCAACCAGTCAATTTTGTTTCAATTTGTTCTTTTGTAACATTTGAGGAAATTATTTGAAAGAATTGGCGACGTGCGGGAACAGAAACATTTCGAATTAATGCTGATGGAAATGGGTGATGACCGTGACCATGTGGTGGTGGTGGTGGATGGAAAGGAGCAAAAGAGAGAACGGAGAGTGGAAATAATATAAATAACAAGAAAATCATTTTAATTATCTAAAATTAATTAAAAATATAGTAATGCTAGGAGGGTAGGCTGATCTTTCGTATCTATAACTAAATGCAAATTTGGCCGAAGAGTGATTTTGATATCAATCACCTAATATTAAATAAAGTAAAAGCCCCATGTTTACAATGATTTTCATTTACAATGCCCCCAAGAGTGATTTTGACCCCATAAAAAAGCTCGATGATATACGTCGAATCAGTCAAAATAATTAAAAGCGTTGAAGCAGACCGGGCTTGAGCAGATTGGAGTGTATTCCATTCTGAGAAAGACTAAGTAGTTAAATAAAATTTTTATAAAATATTATTTTTTTGGAAAAATTATTAGATATAATTTTAAAAATAAATGGCCAATCTACATAAGTATTTGGCCATTAAATATACAGAATTTTATCAACACTAATATTATAGTCATCATTAAAAATAATCTAAATTTGTTAAAAATACGAGATTTAATTGGAAAAAGAGGATTAGAATATTAAATAAATAATTATGGAGAGGATATTTAGAAAATAATGAATAAAATTTTTATAAAATTTTTTTTAATTTGGATTTATAGAAAAGAATTCTTGAAAGTAGACAAATTAAACTTTAAGGACTGGCAAATGATTATATCTGGACTGGCAAATGATGACATTTATCTAATATTTTGGTGATTGATCTATACACTTAAAGCTGATTTGACTTATTGAAACAGACAACGCTTAATTCTTAATTAAGGATGGATCCAATTTTAGAAAAAGAAATTAACGAAGGAATCTCTTATTTTTAATTTTACATATTAACAAAAAATATATATAATTCATCCACTTTAATAATTGTTTTTAAATTTTTGTTTAATGCCATTTCCTTATGATCTTTGTGTAAAGAACATTTATTAAATTGAAATTTACAAAGTATCTTTTTGCCTTCTTTATAGTTTAAAATTTTTATTTTTTATATGAGAAATTTTCTTCAAATAATTATCAAAAAGGGGCACATTTTTGCCAAATAAAAATTTCGAATTTTTTCAATCATGTAGAAAATCTAAGCGTTAAATATACATATTTAATCACAATTTCTTTCAAAGTTTTATTTAGAGAGAATCCAAAATTAAATACCCCTTTATTCATCTTTAATTTTTTATTTAAAAAGGCCAAATTCCAAAATTTTTATTTTTAACAATTTATTTTTACTAATTTTCTTCCCTTAAATTAAAAAATTTGTGTATTTTAATTTTCAATTAAAAACTTAAGTACCTCTAAATAATTTAGTCAAGTGTGAAAAAAAGAGAAAATTTTTCTTTGAATAAATTCTTTGTTCATTTATTGTTTTCTATTTAAATAATGAAAATTGGGAAACATTGAAAATTCTTTTAAAGAATTTTTGATCGTTCTGGTACTCACAACTAAGGTTCTCGAAACTTTTCAAATATTTTTAAGGATTTTAAAAAATCCTTGAATTGATTTGAAGAAAGAGTTTAGCTTTAGCCACCGGGCAGGATTTGAACCTGTGACCTCCTTGTAATTATTGCTAGGCGCTTTCGATCACTACATACAGGAGCTCTATCACTGAGCTACCGGGGCATCGACTAATTCTCTTTTATCCTTTTAGATCGTTTAACCCCCCCCCCTTCCCTAAGCATTTTAAATGCTCTAGGTTAATCATCCTTACAATGATCATTGGGTTAATGAAAAAGCAAAGTTTATATTCATAATTAGCCCTATCTCTAATATATTTTTAGACATATTATTAATTCCAGACACTTTCAAGCATTTTCTTTTACCCTTTATTTACCAAATTTTATTCTTAATTTGTGTCAAAATTATTTTAAAAAACTTCCTCATAATTTATTATTTAATCTTAAAGTAATTGTATTTATTTGTTTTAAAAAGTCTTTTGGTTTCCTTAGAGCTTTTCTTATTTTATTTGAATGAGAACACTTTTATTTACTCAAGAAAAGCTTTTGACATTCGTCGCTAAGTAATAAATATTTAAATAATAAAGAAGTAAATTATTTAGAGGTGTTCTTTACTATTTTTGTGACTTTATTCTATTTAATCTTTCTTCTTATTTTGTTTGGTGTATTAAACGAGTACTAAATTTGTGATTTGTAGCCGAAATTGTGGCAAAAAAGAGGTGTGAACATTTTTGGATTCTTGAAACAAAAATGTTTTTAGTACAATTATGTAAATATATAAGGGATATTTTAAGTCGTGTTTAACTAATTTTTGTAATTATAGAATCCGTACCACGAGCGAGCGTCTTGCTTTATTTGCGTTAAATTTTCGCATTGCGTTGCCTGTTCCGCACTATAATTTTACAATAAGCGATTAGCATTATTATTTCTGAAGCTAAATTTCTGTTATTTTTAAGTAAATCTGGTTCCCTATTAAACTCCAATGCAATTTTTGGCCAGTATACACTATTGACCCTTGGCCAGTAAATAAAAGGAAGATAATCTGATAATTATTTTAAAATCAATTATTTTTTACCAAATTATTTTTCAAAAAACTAAAAATCTATTAATTTATTTAAATCTTACATCATTTAGCTAAATACAAGCGCAATCCTTATTGCAATCAAATAAGCGGATTGCATCATTTCCCCCCTTTACCTTTCATTCCCAACATTCCCCCATTGCTTCTGTTTTAAAAAAAGCTTTTTCTATAAAGCTAAAAACATTATATATTTATTTCAACATTCTCTTTTATCTAAGCATTATTAGAGAGCTGCTTTTCCTCATTCTGTCTTTCTCACTTGTCATTTTCCCATCAGCTATTTTTTGGCCAAATATTATCTTCTCTGTTTATTTATTTAAAGCTGTAAAAATATTAAATTACTTAATAATTTTAAATTTATTTAAATAAGAAATTTTATATTAATATTTTAGAGAAAAAATATTTAAAAATTCCTTCCTTCATTCCCTTTTTTAAATAATTATTTTTTAAATTTTCTCATTTATTCTATTAAAATTTAAATTATTTCGAATTTAATTTAGAAATTATTTTAATTAGTAGTCATTTTTCTCCCCAAAAATGACTCTTCCTCGAAAATCTTCCAATTCCTCTTCACTCTCTTCCAATTCAAAAGCTAAATGGTTACGTCAAAATGCTCTTTTAACTTTAACTATTGGGGCTGTATTTATCGGAGTTTTGGTTGGGTGTGTTGGTCGTTTGGGGGAACCTAGTGCTAATACTGCTAGATTTGTTGGATTTCCTGGAGAGGTGTTTTTTGATATTTTATTTCTAAAATTATACGTAGTATTCCACATTATCTCTCCTATTGAAATTTCTCTCAAATAAGTACCCCTTCTAATATTTAAAGAATAATAAAAGCAAGTTGGAAGAAAAAAATATTCCTTAAAAATTCCTTGAATATTAAAATTAAAAATTCTTTTAAAAACAAAAATATTTAAAAAGTTGTTAATGAGAATGCTTAAATGTGTTATCCTTCCACTCATTTCATCTTCTCTAATTACTGGTCTTGCACAACTTGATGTTCGTCAATCGGGTAGAATGGGGGCTTTGGCTATTTTATATTATTTGGCTACTACTGGAATTGCTGTTACTGTTAGTTTTTTATAGAAAAATTAATAATTTCGAGCTTGATAGACTTAATTTAGAAAAAAATTATTTTTCGTTAATATGTACACATATCTTTTGTCAAGAAAAATTATCTCAAAAATTAAATGAGTAGAAGTCATTAGAAAGAGTTCCATAATATAGAAAAGTTTTATGTAGAACAGAAGGGTGTTTAGTATAGAGCAGGGATCGCGCCGACAAAAAATCAAATTCCCGATTTTCGTGAATCGGGAATTCCCGAAAATTTCGGGAAATTTCGAAAAAAAACAACAAACTATATATACAACAAACTATTTTTGACAACAAACTATTTCACGATTTTCGTGAATCGTGAATTCACGAGCCAAAAATCATCGGGAATTCACGATTTTCGGGAATCGTGAATCGGGTCGGCGCGATCCCTGGTATAGAGTGTTAAATATTGTAAACAATAAATTAAAATTTGGCTTTTAAAATATTCTATGTCCTTTAAGGGTTTTACTAACAATTAATATATGTATTCATTTTTAAATAAAAAATTCCAGACAGGCATAATTCTTGTAATTGCAATACACCCAGGCAATCCTGCCCATTACCCTGGACAACAAACTACCAAAAATCAGCCAATTATAAGTATGGCAGATACTTTAATGGATTTAATTAGGTAAAATTTGAAAAAAAAGATTTTATAAAAAAATATTTACTTAAAGAAATATATTTCCCGATAATTTAATACAAGCAACAATGCAACAAACACAAACAAAAATTGAGAGAATTAATGGATCTGATGGAATTTTAATTGAAAAATATAAATTGGGGCATACTGATGGAATGAATATTTTAGGTATTTATTTAAATTAGTTTTAGGTATTTTAGAGGAAAAAGTAAAATTCTGAATAAAAGGTTATTTTAAAAATTGAAATTAGATATATTTTGAATAACCAATGTCTCATAAACTGTCAACAAATAATTTCGTAAATTCAATGGTCAGATCGTATTTAGGGTGGTCGATAACCTAAAGTACGTTTAAAAAATTTTCCGACTCGAAACAAGGCCATAATTTCCGAAATTTTTATGTTAATGCAAGCATAATATCTCTTGTAATCCATATATTATTTAATGTTGGCATATTAGTATAATCGAAATTTCTGTTTAAATACTAAATAAGTGGTATAATTAAGTGTTATAAATTAATTAATTTTCAGGTTTAATTGTTTTTTGCATTGCTTTTGGTATAGTATTGAGTCAATTAGGACCTAGAGGTCGTCCTATGGTTAGAATATTTTTTATTAATATTTTTATTCTTCTAAAATTTCTGTAGGTTGACTTTTTTGCAATTCTTGATTTGGTCAGTATGCGTTTAGTTTCTTTAATTATGTGGTTAGTTTAATTTAAAAATGATTTATTTAAAAATATTTTATATAAAGGTATTCACCAATT